ATAAATAACACAAAGGGAAGGCTAAGTGGCAAATGCCAAACAGAACATGCTGATACAGAGAATTAACAAAAGAAAAGGACACACAGCAGGAGGGAGATTGCGACACTGGATCAAGGGAGACAGATGATACATACAAGAGGGAATCAGAGAAGAAACACCTGCGGAATACGGTTGAACATGATAAAAAAAATGAGTCGGGAAGTAAAGTAAACACCAAGCACACAGGACAAGAGAGCGCTAGGGACAGAGGCATGAATAGGGACGCTGACTGGCACATAAACATGGAGACAAGACTGACTTAACAGGGAGATGCTGAAGGAAGCACACGGAGACGAGACCAAATAACAAACAAGAAAACCTAGCTACTAATGAGTAGCTTGTGCTTTTGTTTGTCTAAAGCAGCGAAAACAGCCTGTTAATTCTTTAGCAGATGAGAAACCATATCCAGTGTTGAATTCCGCCATGTGGAAACATCCTGTATGTGTGCCTCTTTCTTTAAGCCCACCCCTCGGCCAACTCAGGCACAGGTAACAGTGTTAACTGGAGAATGATAACCAAAAGCATTCATGAGTCAAAACAAAAGAAAAATAAGTTAATCGGGCTCTCCAGTTTCCAGCAAATACAAACATTTTCATTTAGTGAGATTACTCTTAAGAGCTTTAAGCGATTGTGCAGAAGTTGGTGGAAACTTATAAATGCAGGATAAAAGCGACTGGAAATTTTGGGGATTATTTATAATCTTTGCCACCCGTCTAACCTGTAAATAATGCACTGAATATGTAAATTCTTCTGAGAGAACTGCTAAAGGTTTGGACTTTTCAGTTTCTATGGCTCTGTTTTTCATAATCCAGGGCCATTCCCATATGGAAAAGAAATAGAAAAAACTTATAAAAGACTTGCATCAGATTTGGCCTACTTCATATAGTGAATCATATAAGGCTTATATGATTTACTCATGAAAGTGGCCACTTTCATATATTGTTTTAGTAAGTATCCAAAACACACAAGTTTAATTTATATAAATTTTCAAGGGATCTTACATCTGTTTTCACTCTTGTATTCTTTTCATACAAGTTTCACACAAGACAGATACAAACTTTATAAGATTTATATATATCTTTTCCATATGGGTTTCCTCACAGCTTGCCTTACCTATAATGAGGTGAGCACAGTAAATGGCATATTATAATATTCATTCCATGCACTATTTAAATGGACAGGCCGAGGGTATTTTGGTAAACATTACAGCGTTTCTTTGCAAGACAAAACAGCATGTGTGATGCTGAGCTCAATTTCTGAGTCAGCTATATGCTTTGCTTTACGCATTTAAATGTTTACTGCTTTTTTCTCTCCTGAAACTCAAAGATGTCTCAGAAACTTAGACAAAGTCTGGTGATCCTACTCTGCATCTCTGAGCATTGTTTTACCAGTTTTTTCTTTCCTCCTTCCAGTTCCGTTGTTTTGTACTTCATTTTATTATAAAATTCTTGCAGTTTTAGATTTTTCCTCTCAAAGTCCTGGAGAAAAAGTTTTTCTTCTTTCTGTTTTATGTCCAGTTCTTTTGTCTTGAAGAAACTGCAATGTTTCATCAAGCTTTATTTGGAGCGCTTGTATTTTTCCTCCATGTCTTCATGCTTACAATAAATTTCTTTCTGTTTTATGTCGTGTTGCTTTCTCTCTTGAAGCAACTGTTGATTTTTGTGCAGTGTCTTATTAAGCTTTCCCTGCAGCACTTTTTATGAGGATATTTTTTTTGCTTGGACAAATTATCAGTAAAGTTTCAACCCCTGTTGTTTTTTTTTTTTGTTTTTTTTTAATGTGTTATAGCAATACCATACACCAAAAGACACACACATATATTTATGATTATTGCACACTGTAACCCAGGATAATATTGTTTGGTGTCAATTGTATTTTATATTTTCGGGAATTGTCCTCAAATCAGTGTGAGTAGTATTTTCATTGCTGTAGTTCTTTTGTACTTTTGTTTTTGGTATATTGTTCTGTTGTCAGAACACTTTTCAGTCGCAATTTATTCATTTTTTAGATATTTTAGTCATACATGAAGATTCAAGATTCAAGGTCTTTATTGTCAATACAACAATATACACAGTGGACTAAGCACACAGCCCTGCAACGATCCTGTAATCAGTCTGGGGACTTTGGAAGTGTTATTTCCTATGAAGACAGACTGGGGCCTGTCAGTTAGCATAGCATAGCATAGCATAGCATAGCATAGCATAGCATAGCATAGCATAGCATAGCATAGCATAGCATAGCATCTTTATTTATAACGCACTTTACATCCAACAATGTTGACCAAAGTGCTACAAATATAAGAGAGGAAACAGTTTAAATTACATATAAAAAA